GAGCTCGGAGAACCAACCAACGAAGAAACGAACGAAGGGACGGGGAGAAGGAAGGAAGACAAACGCACAAAGAGGCATTACGTTTATGTGTTTTGGTTTTGTGCGTTTGAGCTTTTTTTTGTCTAATAATCGGTTATTTTTAAAGGGTTTGTCGTTTTCTGAGCTGTTTCCTCGTCACGGTCAGAGCTGGAGTTGTGTTTTTTTGTTTTATTCTCACACAAACTCTGCAGATTTAGGCTGAGTTCTTCTCTCAAAATGAAAACCTTGTGCAAAAATATCAAAATATCGTATCGTTTAATGTCATAATACAGTATTTTTTGGTGTATTCTACGTGCTACAGAGCTGCAGTTTTGTTGTTTGTTTAGTGGAAGGAAACTCGTTTATGCGACACATTTCACATTTTCATTAAAAAAAATTGTGTGTTTCATATGAACTTTGCACAAAAAGTACATTTTTAGCATCACAGACATGATTTAGACTTTGTTTTACGGCTGAAGAAATCATGATCAGGATTATTTTGGTCAATATTGAAATCACGATTAGTCAGACGATTATTTTTTAGTTACACGATGCATTTCTCTTTCAAACAAAACACTTTGAAACTTTTGTTCTAATGTCGTTTCCTCGTCACAATCAGATCTGGAGTTGAGTTTTTTGTTTTATTCTCACTCAATCTCTGCAGATTTAGGCTGAGTTCTTCTCTCAAAATGAAAACCTTGTGCAAAAATATCGAAATATCGTATCGTTTAATGTGATGATACAGTATTTTTGGTGTATTTTACTAAATTATTTAGTTACAGAGCTGCAGTTTTGTTGCTTGTTCAGAGGAAAGAAACTTTTTTATGTGACACATTTGACATTTTCACTGTTTTGATGATTAAAATGTTACAAAAAGTGATTTAACAAAGACTATTAGTATCACAGACATGATAATAAAAATCATTATCACGATTATTTTGGTCAATATTGAAATCACAATTATCCAAACGGTTATTTTTTTAGTTACATGATGCATTTAGTCAGCTTATATTTCACGCAGAATTGTTGTGTTTGTAAAGGGTTTGTGTTACGTTGTTTTCTGAGTTTTGTTCTAATGTCACAATTGTCACAATCAGACCTGGAGTTCCTTTTTTGTTTCATTCTCACACAAACTCTCCAAATTTAAGCTGAGTTCTTCTCTCAAAATGAAAACACTGTCCCACTTTGTGCAAAAATATCGAAATATCAAATAGTTTAATGTGATGATTCAGTATTTTTGGTGTATTTACTAAATTATTTTCTTACATCGCTACAGTTTTGTTGCTTGTTTAGTGGAAGGAAACTTCTTTATGTGACACATTTGACATTTTCATTTAAGATTACTGTGTTTCATATGAACTTTGCACAAAAAGTGGTTTAACAAACACTTTTAGTATCACAGACATGATTTAGACTTTGTTTTACGGCTGCTCGATTATGGAAGAAATCATTCTCACGATTATTTTGGTCAATATTGAAATCACAATTAGTCAGATGATTATTTTTTTTTATTTCACGGTGCATTTATTCAGCATTTCTCTTTCAAACAAAACACTTTGAAAGTTTTGCGTAAATTATCAGTCAAACTAAACAAAAATAAATATAAGCTACAATGCGAGTTATAAAACATAAAATGAATCAAATAAACTTTGAACTTGAAATAAGGCACAGAAAACCACAAATGTATCAAAATAAATATACTTTATTTATGTAAAAAAAAGTCCCAAAATAAACGTTGTTAAGCTTTAAATCATTTCAACTGGATGATGTGAGTTTGGAGATCGTTTGACTCACAAATCAAAATCACGATCTGAGCTGTGATGTCATTTCCTCGTCACAGTCAGAGCTGGAGTTTTGTCTTTAGTTTCATTCTCACACAAACTCTGCAGTTCTTCTCTCAAACATGTTGTTCCATCTTGTGCAAAAATATCAAAATATCAATATATCGTATCGTTTATTGTGATGATACGGTATTTTTTGGTGTATTTTACTACATTATTTTGTTACAGAGCTACAGTTTTGTTGCTTGGTTAGACGAAGGAAACTCATTTATGCGACACATTTGACGTTTTCAGTTTTGAGGATTAAAAAGTTTGTGTTTCATATGAACTTTGCACAAGAAGAAGTGGTTTAACAAAGACTTTTACCTTTATTTTACGACTGCTCGAAAAAAATCATTATCGTGATTATTTTGGCCAGTATTGAAATCACGATTAGTGGAAGTCAGTCAGTCCTGGTCTCAGTCCCAGTCTGGTCCTGGTTTCTTGATCAACGGGTCCGAACCAGGACTGAGACTAGGACTGAGACTGGTTTAGACCTGGTTTAGACCTGGTTTAGACCTGGTTTAGACCTGGTTTAGAGCCGGTTTAGAGCCGGTTTAGACCTGGTTTAGACCTGGTTTAGACCTGGTTTAGAGCCGGTTTAGAGCCGGTTTAGACCTGTTTTAGAGCCGGTTTAGACCTGTTTTAGAGCCGGTTTAGACCTGGTTTAGAGCCGGTTTAGACCTGGTTTAGACCTGGTTTAGAGCCGGTTTAGACCTGTTTTAGAACCAGTTTAGACCTGTTTTAGAGCTGGTTTAGACCTGTTTTAGAACCGGTTTAGACCTGTTTTAGAACCGGTTTAGACCTGGTTTAGAGCTGGTTTAGACCTGTTTTAGAGCCGGTTTAGACCTGTTTTAGAACCGGTTTAAACCTGTTTTAGAGCCGGTTTAGACCTGTTTTAGAGCCGGTTTAGACCTGGTTTAGAACCGGTTTAAACCTGTTTTAGAGCCGGTTTAGACCTGTTTAGAGCCGGTTAAGACCTGGTTTAGAGCCAGTTTAGACCTGGTTTAGAGCCAGTTTAGACCTGGTTTAGTCCTGGTTTCGTCCGGCATCGCAGTTTGAGTCACGTAAACAGGAAACGGTCGCTATCTGTCGTTGTTTTTTCGCTTTCTTATTTTTGGTTTTATTTTTGGAAAAACGAATGACACACGGATTTGAAATGATAATATCGTGACGGTGTGAAGCAGCAGACAAGCAGCTGGACGCTTTTTTATTTAATTTTGGATAATTACTGTTTCAACTTTGTGTAAAAGTGTTTGTGGAGTGAGAGGCCTGTGTGTTTTAACTGGAGGTTTTCACGAAGAAATCTGTGTTTTTTAAAATATTTTTAACCAAGAAATAGTGATGTCATAAAGCTGAATTTTGCATCATTTGCACCACAAGTAACACTCTGATTTAGGATTTGCTTGTAATTTACCATAAAAACATTCTGTCCACTATATACAGATGTTCTAAGAGTTAAAAGTTTGGACTCACCCTCATTTAGTCTTTTTTTCCTGTGTTTATTACTTTCTACATTTGATATACTCACAGAAAACATCAAATATATGAACGAATGGTCCGTGTGACGTTGTTTTTATGATTTAATGTTATAATAAGTTTGTTTCCTGATCACAAACAGACCTGGAGTTGTGTTTTGTTTCATTCACACATCACAAACGGAAAAAACACTCCACGTTCCACCTTGTGATGTCATGAAGTGGTAATACAGGAAGTGCTCCATTGTGTTTTTAAACTGCACACACTTTCACTAGAATCGTTTGGATACTTTACGCCTCAAAATTGTCGATATCTACTGAACTAAAGGTAAAAAATAGCTGTTTACTTCAAAACTACACAGCAAAAAGTGTTAAAATCGACTCTCGCAGAATCAATTTAAACATTTTCTCTGTGTTTATATGAGTCCAATCTGTTCTATTTTTAGTTAATTTAACATTTTTGAAAATGTTAATTCAGTAACACTGGACCAAAGTTCCTGTTTAACCCCAAATCCAGAGTTATATTCACGAGTAAATGGAAAACACTTTGTAGAGTTATCCTGATTTAACTAAACAACAAACAGAGGGGTTTTATTTTTACACTTTATTTGAGTTAATTTAAGACGAAATTATGAACAAAACTGGTTCAAACTGGTTTTCTCTCACGGGAGTTTGAAGTGGTGGGGGGGAGACAAATTAACACTAAAGGAAGTTAAATTAACACTAGAGGAAGTTGAATTACCACTAGGAAAAGTAAAATTAACACTAAGGGAGGTTGAATTAACACTAAAATAAGTTGAATTAACACTAAAATAAGTTGAATTAACACCAAAAAGTTGAATTAACACCGAAGGAAGTTGAATTAACACTAGGGGAAGTTGAATTAACACGAAGAGAAGTTGAATTAACACTAAAATAAGTTGAATTAACACCAAAAAGTTAAATTAACACCGAAGGAAGTTGAATTAACACGAAGATAAGTTGAATTAACTAAAATAAGTTGAATTAACACCAAAAAGTTGAATTAACACCGAAGGAAGTTGAATTAACACTAGGGGAAGTTGAATTAACCCTAAAATAAGTTGAATTAACACCAAAAAGTTGAATTAACACTAATGGAAGTTGAATTAACACTAAAAAGTTGAATTAACACTAAAATAAGTTGAATTAAAATCAAAAAGTTGAATTAACACTAGTGGAAGTTGAATTAACACTAAAGGAAGTTGAATTAACTTCAACCAAATCAAGTCTAGCAAATAACCCCAACTTAAACCCCCATTTAACTTTCAAATAGTTAAAATAACACTTTTTGTGTTAAAAACAACTCTGAAATATTTTTACTCAGAAATTTTAACCCTCCAATTTTTGTAAACGTGGACAGACTCATAATAAACTTTTACTTAAACATGTAAAAATGAAACAAAACACGACTCCAGGTTTGTTTTTTGAGGAGATAACAACATTTTAACACGACTTAAATCGCACAAGAATCCATTTTGTAAAACTTTTAACAAAACCGTACATTTAGTTACTGTAATTTTTGTGTATTTTACTCCAGATTTCCCCCTCGTGACAGGCCCACACTCCCTTGTCTCTGAAACTACAGTGTGTGATGTTTCTGTGTGAACGCGGCGACGCACAATCCCCAACTAAAATGTCGGCTGTGTGTGTTTGTTTCTTTCAGAGCATGATTTCCTCCATCGTGAACAGCACTTACTATGCAAATGTGTCGGCCGCCAAGTGTCAGGAGTTTGGACGCTGGTATAAACATTTCAAGAAGACAAAGGATATGATGGGTAAGCACCAGCGCACAAAACAACACACAAAAGTACACGAAACAACGCACAAAAGTACACGAAACGACACACAAAAGTACACGAAACGACACACAAAAGTACACGAAACAACACACAAAAGTACACGAAACGTACACGAAACACGACAAAACACACAAAACACACAAAAGTACACGAAACGACACACAAAAAGTACACGAAACGACACACAAAAGTACACGAAACAACACACACAAAGTACACGAAACAACACACAAAAAAGTACACGAAACGACACACAAAAGTACACGAAACACACGCACAAAAAACGTACACGAAACGACACACAAAAAGTACACGAAACGACACACAAAAGTACACGAAACGACACACAAAAGTACACGAAACGACACACAAAAGTACACGAAACGACACACAAAAGTACACGAAACAACACACACAAAAAACGTACACGAAAACGACACACAAAAGTACACGAAACGACGCACAAAAAGTTACACGAAACGACACACAAAAGTACACGAAACGACACACAAAAGTACACGAAACGACACACAAAAGTACACGAAACGACGCACAAAAGTACACGAAACGACGCACAAAAGTACACGAAACGACACACAAAAGTACACGAAACGACACACAAAAGTACACGAAACGACGCACAAAAGTACACGAAACGACACAAAAGTACACGAAACGACACACAAAAGTACACGAAACAACACACAAAAGTACACGAAACAACACACAAAAGTACACGAAACGACACACAAAAGTACAGGAAACGACACACAAAAGTACACGAAACGACACACAAAAGTACAGGAAACGACACACAAAAGTACACGAAACGACACACGAAATTACACGAAACGACACACGAAAGTACAGGAAACGACACACGAAAAGTACACGAAACGACACACAAAAGTACACGAAACGACACACAAAAGTACACGAAACGACACACAAAAGTACACCACAAAAGTACACGAAACAACACACAAAAGTACACGAAAACAACACACAAAAGTACACGAAACAACACACAAAAGTACACGAAACAACACACAAAAGTACACGAAACAACACACAAAAGTACACGAAACAACACACAAAAGTACACGAAACGACACACAAAAGTACACGAAACAACACACAAAAGTACACGAAACAACACACAAAAGTACACGAAACAACACACAAAAGTACAGCTCGGGACGGAATAATACACAATAATTTCGTGTATCATGATAAAAAATGTACACAAAAATCATGCGATGGGACAATTTGTGCGTTTAAAATTATTTCACAACATTTATTGGCCAATTTTATTTAACGGTGACGTAACAAGCGAAGACCTGGTTCAGATCTGGTTTAGTCCTGGTTCAGACTTGGTTGAGTTCTGGTTTAGTCCTGATAAAGTCCTAGTTTTGACCTGATTTAGTCCTGGTTTGGTTCACTGGTTCCTCTAGTTAGTCTAGATTAGTCCTTGTTCAGTCTGGTTTAGTCCTAGTTTAGTCAGTCTGGTTCAGTCCTGGTTTAGTCCTAGTTTAGTCCTGGTTCAGATCTAGTTTAGTCCTGGTTCAGACTTGGTTCAGTCCTGGTTCAGATCTAGATTTGTCCTTGTTCAGTCCTGGTTTAGTCCTAGTTTAGGCCTGATTAAGTCCTACTTTTGACCTGATTTAGTCCTGGTTCAGACTTGGTTCAGTCCTGATTCAGATCTAGTTTAGTCCTGGTTTAGTCATGGTACAGATCTAGTTAAGATCTAGTTCAGACTTTGTTCAGTCCTGGTTCAGACCTGGTTTAGTCCTAGTTTAGTCCTGGTTTAGTCATGGTACAGATCTAGTTAAGATCTAGTTCAGACTTGGTTCAGTCGTGGTTCAGACCTGGTTTAGTCCTAGTTTAGTCCTGGTTTAGTCATGGTACAGATCTAGTTAAGATCTAGTTCAGACTTGGTTCAGTCCTGATTCAGATCTAGTTTAGTCCTGGTTCAGACTTGGTTGAGTTCTGGTTTACTCCTGATAAAGCCCTTGTTTTGACCTGATTTAGTCCTGGTTTGGTTCTGTCCTGGTTCAGATCTAGATTAGTCTTTGTTCAGTCCTGGTTTAGTCCTAATTAAGTCCTACTTTTTGACCTGATTTAGTCCTGGTTCAGACCTAGTTCAGATCTAGTTTAGTCCTGTTTCAAACCTGGTTTAGTCCTGGTTCAGAGTTCTTGATTCAGTCCTGGTTCAGTCCTTGGTTTAGTCCTAGTTTAGTCCTGGTTTAGTCCTGAGTTTAGTCTGGTTTAGAGTTCTGTTTAGTCCTGGTTTTAGTCCTAGTTTTAGTCCTGGTTTAGTCCTGGTTTAGTCCTGGTTTCAGTCTAGTTTAGTCCTGTTTCAGACCTGGTTTAGTTCTGTTTAGTCCTGGTTTAGTCCTGGTTCAGTCTGGTTTTGGTTCGGACCTAGTTCAGACCTGGTTTTAGTCCTAGTTTTGTCCTGGTTTTGTCCTGGTTTAGTTCTGGTTTAATCCTGGTTTAGGATTGATCCACAGGAAAAACCAAAAACAAATCATCCCGAGTTTGCGGCGAACATTTTGTATGTGGAGCGACGACAAAACAAAACCCCGATCCGTCGCTCAACCTCGGTTACGAATTTAAAAAGTCAACGTCAAAGTGAAAGTCTCCAACTGTTCACCAAGAAACACCTTCCACTGCAAAGACCAAGACGTGATGTTTCTGTAAAACCACAAGAACAAAAAATAAATAAATATTTAACAGTGACGTAACAATAACGGAAATATTAAAATTTTGTGTGTCCAAAAGTCACAATAATATCGTGGGAAACTGTTATAGATGGATTTAGAAGACTCTTTTATGGAAGATACAGGGTTCCCAGGGTCATGGAAATCCTGGAAAAGTCATGGAAATTGAAAATGTTAATGTAAAACGCTGTCGTCAGACTCAGCATCAGTTCCAGTTAGAATTATTCCGGTCTTTCTGATTTCCATTTGGTCTTACTTTATTATTTCATTAATGTTTTCAGTCTCAGTTTAGTCCTGGTTTAGTCCTGGTTTTGACCTGATTTTGTTCTGGTTTAGTCCTGGTTTAGTCCTGGTTAAGTCCTAGTTTTGACCTGATTTAGTTCTGGTTTAGTCCTGGTGGAGTCCTGGTTTAGTCCTGGTTAAGTACTAGTTTTGACCTGATTTAGTCCTGGTTTAGTCCTGGTTCAGTCCTTGTTTAGTCCTAGTTTGGTCCTGGTAAGTCCTAGTTTTGATCTTATTTAGTTCCGGTTTAATTCTGGTTCAGACCTCATATAGTCCTTGTTTAGACCTGGTTTAGTCCTAGTTTAGTCATGTTTCAGGCCTGTTTTAGTCCTGGATTGGTTCTGTCCTGGTTCAGATCTAGTTATGTTAGTTTTGACCTGATTTAGTTTCTGGTTTAGTCCTGGTTTAGTTCTGGTTCAGAACCTGGTTTAGTCTGGTTAAGTCTGTTTTTGACCTGATTTAGTCCTGTTTTAGTCCTGATTCAGACCTAGTTTAGTCCTTGTTTAGACCTGGTTTAGTCCTAGTTTTGACCTGATTTAGTCCTAGTTTAGTCTGTTCAGACCTGTTTTAGTCCTGGTTTAGGTTTCCTGGTTCAGATCTAGTTAGTCCTGGTTTTTAGTCCTGTTTAGTTCATTTAGTCCTGGTTTAGTTCCAGACCTTTTATCCTTTAGTCCTGTTTTAGTAGTCCATTTTAGTCCTTAGACCTGGTTTAGTCCTGAAGACCTGTTTTTAGTCCTTTAGTCCCTAGTTAGTTTAAGTCCTGATTTAGACCTGATTTAGTTTCTGGTTTTCTAGTTTAGTCTGTTTAGTCCTAGTCCTTTTAGACCTGGTTTAGTCCTAGTTTTGACCTGTTCTTTTTAGTCCTGGTTCAGATCTGTTAGTCCTGAGTCCTGGTTTAGTTCCTGGTTTAGTCCTGAGTCCTTTTTTCCTTTAGACCTTTTTTAGTCCTTGTTTAGTCTGAAGTCCTTGACCTTTTAGTCCTAGTTTAGTCTGTTTCAGATGTTTTAGTCCTGAGTTTGTGTTCCTTAGTCTGGTTCATCCTGTTTTGACCTGATTTAGTTCTGGTTTAGTTCTTGTTCAGACCTGATTTAGTTCTAGTTTTGACCTTATTTAGACCTGGTTTAGTCCTTAGTCCTGATTCAGAGCTAGTTTAGTCCTTGTTTAGTCCTAGTTAAGTCCTAGATTTGACGTGATTTAGTTCTGGTTTAGTCCTGGTTCAGACCTGGTTTAGTCCTAGTTTTGACCTCATTTAGTTCTGGTTTAGTCCTGGTGTAGTCCTCATTTAGACCTGGTTTAATCCTGATTCAGACCTCGTTTAGTCCTTGTTTAGTCCTGAGTTAGTCCTAGTTTTGATATGATTTAGTCATGACTTAGTCCTAGTTTAGTCCTGGTGTAGTCCTGGTTTAATCCTGGTTCAGACTTCATTTAGTCCTGGTTTAGTTCTAGTTACCTCTGGTCTAGTCCCGGTTTAGTCCTAGTTTTGACCTCATTTAGTTCTGGTTTAGTCCTGGTGTAGTCCTCGTTTAGTCCTTGTTTAGTCCCGAGTTAGTCCTAGTTTTGACATGATTTAGTCCTGGTGTAGTCCTGGTTTAGTCCTGGTTTAATCCTGGTTCAGACCTCATTTAGTCCTGGTTTAGTCCTGATTCAGACCAGACCAGACTTTCAACTAAAAAAAAAAAACTTAGAGTGACAGTTTTTTTTTTTTTTTTTTTTATGCTCAAACTGTGTCAAAATAAAACTCAGATTAAAGTCTAAACAAACCCCCAGACAGAGCAGAGCCTCCAGTTAGCGCCACGACGACACCGTCTGTAAAACCTCGATAAAAATCCGACTTCGTGAAGCTGAGTTTGTGGTCGGTTCCGTCGAGCCGAGGGGAGGGAGGATGTTTGTGATCAATTTGTATTTAGACCTGGTTTAGTCCTGGTTCAGACCTCATTTAGTCCTAGTTTTGACCTGATTTAGTCCTGTTTT